ATATGGGTCATGCATACCTTCAATGTGGTCAATGCACCATCTTCCAGTCGCTGATTCCTGGCCATCAGTAGCAGTAGGGATACAACAAAAGGTGATGGGAAGATATGGCCATTACGCAGTGTTCGAAGCCAGTCCTACAGATAGAAACAGCGCCTCCTCAATAGTCTGCTTGTTCAGCACTTCTGATATCTCCAGCCACTCTTGACCGCGTTTGTTTTAGTGATCTCTGTCTTCTTGTTTAGTTTTCAGGTTTCGCATCGTGAAGTTCCTCAGTGACTTTTGTCTGCAAATGCGATCGCTGCCTATGTGTTTGAAGGGAGCTGTTGGGCATGCTTTGCTGTCATTACAATTCACAGGCACTACTGCAATAGCATCCCATGGCTTCGACATGAAGGTGCCTCACCCTTCACAGCACAGTCAAGTTGATGGACTTGAACTTCCCTATGCTGACCCCTTGAGTGAGGAACCACGTCTGAGGGTGGAGCATATTCTGTGCATGTTCCACAACCAAAGCTTATAATCCAAGTTTTTCTCTTTCGCTGGGAAGGAATCGATCATTGAAAGGACATTGCCCAGTTAGTGTTGAGGCGCACATCCAGCCCACACTTGGCACAGCCCATCGGTTCTTACCCCAAACAGCTTTTGTAGATTGATCACGAACATGCTGGCAACCAGCAAAAGTGGATGTCACCATTACTGGTCATTTCCACCTGAGGATGACAGCAGTTTATTGGCACATGCGAAAAAAGCCACAGGGCACAAAATTATACCTGCCCTAGGCTCTTGTCATGCTGCAGTGCAACACCAATGTGATACAAGATCGTGCCCTCGATTTGATTCATCTGGGTGGTGGCTCCCTGCCCCGATCCAGATGATCTTGATGCCAAGTGCTTAAAAAGATGGACAATTCCCTGGAGCACAGATTTACCAGTCAGAGGCTGCCTAAAGGGTCATCTCACTGCATTGTACCATTCAAAGTTCTCTAGGAAACAAGCGGCAAGCAAGACCTCCCTGACAGCACTCCCCAAGCCACAGAGAATCGTTGATCTCTTACCAAATAGGCTGCAATGCAGTGTTCCGTCACCCAGTGTAATCAAAGTGGCAACTTGTGAAGCAGAGTAACCCATCGGAGGTTCACCGGCCATGGCGAATCTATGATGTATCATCATGTGAAATAATCTTGCATCAGAATTGCTGCTTCTGGCTGTCACAAAGCACTCCGCCAGCAGCACATTCTGTTGCTGTTCACATAGAACAATGGGAAAAATAAAACAATGGGAAAAATAAATGGGACAGTGTGTGGAACTGCATATGAACGTAACAAAGAAAAAAAATAAAACAAAAAATGAATGTGTAAAACAGAGAAAAGAATGTGTTGGCCAGTGCCCCAAGGGGCGTGGTGCGCAGATGCACACCTGCAGCGCTGTGTCCCTCCCTCCCTGATTGGTGGTCAAGATTAGTTGGTAGATCGCTGTGGGTAGCCCCTGCAGCTTCATGGATCGGCAGCACGTCAAAACCTTGTGCATCACCTCTTCCAATTGATCAGGAGACCTGCACCCAAAGTCCAAGCCTGTTGCGATGCATCATAAGATCATCAGACACGGGACTTGAACTGGAGCGTCCCCTTCCGATACAACAAGCCCACGTTACCCCCCCCTTCGTACTGTGGAGCAGGGTGAAGTGCAGATCTCCGACCTTGGGAAGTTCAACAAACGCTGATTGGATCACATTGTGCCCCTTCGTGTTTTGTGGGGGAGCTCTTTGCTTAGATCAACAAGCAATGCATTGGAATTCAGAAAAAAAAGGTGCAAGGGCTTTGTCTGTTATGGCCTCAGGACAACTGACCTCCAAGAAATGCTATGTAAGCCGCCTTTTCCATTTTGCAGAAGAGCACATTATCCTGTTTGGATGCCACAATTGTGCACTTGTCTGTAAATGAGAATTGCACTTGCAATATAAAGACAGGCACTGGTCCATGCTGTTCCATGCTTGGTCCATGCTTGGGCATGGTCCATACTGTTTGCTTCAATGGCACAGCCAGTGCTAAAGATTTATCAAATGGATTCAAAATGCCATTGCGTGCATCCTTCACCAAGTGTCAGCATTGATGCAGTCCCAATGCCCACCAGCAACACATCCTACAAACACTTACTGCAGCCAAAAAAGAAGCGAATGAAGGGAGTAGAGTTTAATTTATTCACCACTGAAAACTGTTTGGCGAAAGTAACGATTCCTCACATTGGAATCTCCCTCATAACCCCAACAATTTGGGATACGCTCTCTTCCTCCCAGTGGCTGTGACAAATTCGACGGACCGCAGCCGCCTGAACTGCAGCAGCCTCCACACCACCCTGTGCCTCGTCAACATCTGTCGATTGTCAGACACCACTCTTCAATTCAAACCACCAGCAGAATTTCCAAGCCATCAAACTCGGTACAGTGTCAGAAGCCGCCACTGAAACAAGACGCCCAAACTGGTGTGGGTGCCCTCTTGCCTTCATGGCAGATTGCCCTTCAAAGTTCATTTTCTTGAATGGCAATACTGTGCTTCTGAAGCATGTTCTGCGTGGTATCCACTTGGACAAATCTACAGCATCTTTGACACTGTCAAGAAGCAATGCACTTTCAGTTGATCTCGTCTGGGAAAGGGTGCCCATTGGATTGGTTTTGCTTGTTGCTTTGTTGATTAATCTTCTATTCACCAAAACACAGCAGGACAATCTGGGATGCAGTAGAGGAGCCAAGGATGACAAACATGCTAGACACATGGACTTTGCAAGAACAGCCTGGTGTTCACCTGCAGCATTCGCCATAGTGTTCAGCAGGGAAAGCACTTGGGGAAGGAGCTGAAGGATCGAAACACAGTTCGCTGTCCTGCCTTCAACAGCCGCAACCACAGCCTCAGTGACCTGACATGCCACATGGCCCACCACAGGGCAGCCTCAGAAAATGCATGAAAACAAGGGGAAGGAAAACAACAAAGTCGATGCACAGAAAGCACCTCCAGCGACTAACCATCTGTGGTGAATGCGGTTTGCTGAAATTTGTATATTGTAAGCTCTGCAGTTGGCATGCCCCATTCCCTACACAGGCTTTAAGCAGCATTACTGGAAGGTGCAGGCCAATCAGATACCATAGGAATTAATATTTAGGGCTTGGGAGATGCCCATTATCATGCTAAAGTACTAGCTCACAAACTTCAGTGAATAGTTCATTTGCACTATCTGCCAATTTCCCCATTAGCAAGATCAATTGCCGCAACATTAAGCTGCGCTGGCGGCATTTGTGGAAATGACTAATTAAAACCACAGGCAGCAAAATGCGCTGGCAAGAAAAGACCTACAATGCCTCTATTGTATGTCATTGCACCATTTTCTGCCAGAAAATATCTCTGTGCATACCACAACATAATTACTGTGCCATGCCATACGGCACTGCACGTTGTAGTGTCATATTGTAATGTACAGGGCTGCTGCTCACCATATACTGTACTGCACTGTGGTGCATTACACTGCTGCGAAATGCTGAGTTTTACCATCTCCTTTGTGGCAGCATTGTTTTGCACATGGCTGCTGACATCGTTTTGCTGAAAGTGTTTACCCAAATGTGACACAGTGTCAGCTCAATTTCGTGTGCACACATTCCCAACATTCCACAAGAGCGACATAAGGCCAAGACAAGCATCGCAGTATTGACTAACAATAATACATCACGACAGCCTAACAACATCACCTGATGCTTGAAAGAGTAGTGGTTTGTCACAAAGTTGACTTTCGCATTCACTGACAAAGTGTATAACAACAGCAATATTCAGCAGGAATATTGCATCAATAATTAACATTTGCAACATGCTGCACACGATGTACCTCTGCTAGGTGGGGTGCATGCAACAGCCCCATGGCCCTATTGAGAGTACAGATGATTTCGTTGTTGACGCGGCTGCTCAAATCGCTCCTGGACTGCAGGGCTGTGATGGCGGCTTGAACAAGGTCGCAGCGTTGCTGGGTGATCTCTTCAGTTTGCCGCTGTTGGTCAGTGGGAAGGGGCTGAAGCCCCAGGAATGCAGTCCTCAAGAAATCCTGACGAATACGAGAACAGCAGCAACTCAAGTTTTGGCATCTTCAGAAAGCGACACCCAATTGCTCAGATGCAGAGTCATCAGGGACAAGTGCTCTTACTAAATGGACACGATGTTGAGCTTGTTTAGCTTGCTGTAATGCAATTAGGTCATATTCTTTTTCCTATTTATGCCAAGGCCTGAAAGATAGATACCGAAATCATGGAAACGAGGCAGGAACGAACTGTGCAGCAGACAGGATACACTATCTCAATGATACAGATTTCACCTGAGTTTCACCACCAGTGCAGTTGATACTGCTCCCACCAGCGTTTCAGCTCAGATTTGAGGTTTTGGAACATGCGCCGCCACTCTGTGTTGCCCATGCATGCCTATGCGTGTTGTTACATGGAACTGTAATTTCCATATATTCCACGTCAACTTCCACGACAGCATAAAGGAAGGCATTCTTGTGGAAGATATTCCCTGACAATGCCCTCAAGGCCAAAATGGATATTGAAGTAAGACATACTTATATGCACACAGACTGCGAATCGGTGACGGTTCTTGACTTTCTCAACGTCAAACAAAACTTCATTCACGCCCATTCACAACAGTATTTCTGTTCGTTTTCTAATAATGTTCTAATTTTGAGGTAACAATGTATCACATTCTCATCAATTGTCGTTTCTCCCTTTCCTTAGCCCGCTCTTCGTGCAAACGTGTGTTGAACGGAAAATTGAACTCAAGAGGAATGCACAAGCCCCATCTCCACAAGGTGCCAGGGCTTTCGCCCATTGCCTCGTAAGTGCCAAAAGCACTCCAGGGACTGTGAGTCCCCAAGCTGCCTGCCGGAGGGATGTCCCTGCGCTCTGCAAAACCAACCAGGACGGCACCCAGCAAAAATCCACCCCAGTTCAAACTCCCATTTCCATCCAATTTACTAAAATAACACCTTTCCCAGACTGGATCCAACCAACATCCACCCAAGTGCAACTCGCATTCCAGTCTTTTTTCCAGAATAAGGCCTTCTCCAGAATGCTGCCTTTCGTGCGGGCAGCAATCGCCCGCGCCCAGCGGTCACCTTTCCGGCCGCCTCCCCGAGCCTCTCCCGCAGGAACGCCCCCGCGTCCCGCTGCGCCCCCAGTGCAGCCATCGTCGCCTCCCGCAGGCCCTGCTGCGCGGCCAGCCTCTCCCCCTGCGGCAGCTGGCTCAGCCGCACTCCCGACATGCCCAGCAGCGCCTCCGCCATCTCTTCTTTCTCAGATGTCTGTTCTTCCACAGCTATCTCTTCTTCCGGGGATCTCTTCTATTCACTTATTGTAGAGATGTCTGTTCTTCGTTACCGCGGCGAGCCGGAATCCGAGGTGCTCAGCCCGCGCCGGCGAACGGGGGTGTGCTGGCGGCCCCGAGGGCGACGTCAGCGGGGGGATCTCATTGCGGGCGGGGGATGCAGCGTGATGGCTTGAGATCGGCGACGGCGGGGTGGGAATGCGGCGCGGGAGGTGGGCGTGGGGTGTGGTCGGGCGGAGTGGACCGAGGTTCGGGAGGGGGGGAGGGCGGGCCGTCGAGGGGTAGGGCCCTGACGGGTGTTCGCAGGATCCCGCCAAAACTGCACTGTGACAGAAACACCCGCCGTATGACCGCCTGGGAAGCAGACTACGCTTAAGTAGTCATCCCAACCCGAGCCCAAACCGGGAAGGTTGAGGAAAGACCACAAACCCAGCCCCAGCGAACCGCCGGGGCACCAACGCCCTTTTGGCCCTTCAGTCTCCGCCCGCTTTTCCAGACACCCGCTGCCGGCGGGTTCACAGCCTCGTTGCTCCTGGGCCTGATTACGCTTTACACAAGGCCGTGGTGCCTTGACACCCGCCGCCGGGATGTTCAGGGTGACGGGGGAGTGCGGGGCCGCCAGGGCCGCGGTGCTGTCCACGAGCCGCGGCAGCCTGCCCACGCCGTGCATGCTGCTCACGGCGCGTTCCGGGGACCTGCACTCGCTGACCCCGGATGCAGTCGGGAGGATGGCTCACCCGCCGGGCGTCATGATGGACCCCATGGACTTGTACGACCCCCCGAAAGTGCCGGCGGAAGTCGACCTCACGCGCGTCTGGCTGGTCTGTGCGCGGCCATTTTTGTTGATCGTGTGGACTGCCGTTCCGCGCACGCGGCGCGGAACGGCAGGAAGTCAAGTCGACTGTTGCAGCATTTTCTGGACAGCGTGTCCAAGGGAATGGGCTGATTGGACGAGGCTGATCTGGTAGTCCTCGGGGTGTGCCCGGATCGACAGAAAATCAAGTGAAGCGTCGCATCATTGACTCGTCAATATATCGGAAATAAGTTCTGAATTTATGGAGGTTCAGCAACAAACAGCTGTGCATCTCCATAGGGTTCTGCTGGACTTTTGAATGTGCCCTCGTCACAGAAGCTCGTGCCCTGAGTAGGGAAATATGATCTGGGATTGATCTTGAAAGTTGACCAAACGCTGACGGTCATATTTCTGTGGTCGCCAATGCTTGCAAGGTGCAAGGGCTCCGTTATGTTTATTCCCAAATGCGGTCCATGGTTATCGAAGTCATGGAAAGGCCCGGACAGCTGTGAATGTGCGCACAGTGCTGCTGCTGGTCCACACAACACAATCGAAGCTGAACACCAGAAAAGTTTATGTGTCTGTTGCATCTTGCACACTAAATCCAGTGATGTCGGTGTCGTCAGTGCGTGTATATGGAATTACCACAGTGGTCCTGACAGTACGGTGGAAAGCAAAGATTGGCAGACAATCCAATGGGCCAAATCCTAATTGTTGTTGTCCAATTTATTCACAACTCACATTTGCCCTTTCATGCGCTTGGCGATGTCTGGCACTGCTTCCATTCACAATCTGCTGGATGCCCAAGTGTTTTCAACTCTGTTTCAACTCTGAGCATTTTGCCATTACTCAGAACTCGAAGTACCAGGGCTGGTCCAACCTTTGTGCTTGTTTGAATTCTCGTGCGGAGGGTGGTCTGCTTGGAACATGTCACCATGGACAGAGGGGCATGGAAATCTCATGATTGGCTCCATTGTCGACATTATTATCCGTTGTCCCCTTGGTCTTCAGCCATTCTCAGTTCCCGATACTGACATGCTGATAATCTTAAAGTTGTTGCCACACTTTAAGATACATTTCTTCCTCTCCTCTCTTTTCATCTGACTTCAATGCTTACAACGCATCAAAGTCATCGATATTATCCATGGTGTTGTCTTGGATCGGAAGGTTGTTGAGGGCTGACAAAAACTGAGTGGTGGCTGGACATTCCTGCACACCTTGTTGTTCCGTTTGAAAACTGATCAATGTGAACCAGTGATGTGACAGCTGTCTTCATGCTGGTTCATGCTGAGTGCGTGAAGTGTCACTTAAGTGCAGCCATCTATATTGCTTGTCATTGCTCTGTTTGCAGCCTTGACCAGCCGAAACCGGAGGGTCTGCTCGAGTATAACAAGGGCATCGGGACATTCCTGGGGCTGCAGAACTGCTGCCTCATTGCCATACCCAGAGACCCTGTGGCCTATGCATATGGCACAAAGCCCAACACCAAGAACTCCGTGTATGTGATGACACACAATGGTGCCAGAATGGTAGGTCTTTGTGCACTTGTGAGCTAGTGCCCCTGCACGCAGATGCAGGGCATCCAGGACACCTGCAAATCATGATCCAACCAAAAAGCTGTTTTGTAAGAGGAAGAGAGCTTGGTTGCCCCCATACAAAGGGGGCAACCCCCTTCTGAAGACAATGCCAGCTGATCACTGTGGCCCGCTTTGATTGTAAACTGAATAACAAATTCACAAGTTTTGGCTGTTTGAAGGGCCTTGGGAAAGCTCAGCATCTCACAAATCGTGTCATGTGCCCATGTACCAGCTGCCTCAGTCTGTCTTGGTGGTCCAGGTCACACCGGAGCAGTACACCAATGTCATCCAGGCGATGAAACCAGACTATTACTCATCCCTGCCAGATGAGGTGGGCTGTGTTCACTAACCTGCATAGGTGGATCTCTTGTCTGAGCTGTGCTGTTGTCACCCTTAGCATCTGTCCCTTTATGCTGAAGAACAGCAGGCTCAGAAGTACTCGTTACACATAGCAATATGGGTGGTGAGACTTTATTTGGTAGACTATACATAATCGGAATCTTTATTGATTGAATGAATGAAATGGCTGAATGATTGACTCATTGCAGTAGCTGGTTAAGAGATGTGAAACTTTACCTGCTACGTTCAGAGTTGGGGTCATAATGGTGGGGCATCAATGGTTTGTGTGATATTTGGACCTTACATTAGTGGATGCAGCTCGCCATAAAAATCTTGACATGCCTTGTGCTGAAAGCTGTACTAATGAAATCCAGAAACAGATTGCAGAGCACTCCCTTGCACTCGTAGGGCCATGTCTGACGCTATTCAGTCCACAAATTCTTTGCTTCCAAAAAATGTGCTGTTACCTGCACGTTTATTACAGGGTTACTACACTATGGATAGTGGCATGCAGCTCCAAATTCGACGATTGAACTGTTATCCCTTTTCGTATGGGCAGCATAGGAGTAGTACACACACTGCTCATAGGCTCTTTAGTAGGCATCACCAAACAGTACAGTGTGCCTGCAAACTTGGCTCCTGGACTTTTGCCACCACCAGAACTCCCACAAGCAAGATTGTTTATTCGTCCATCGTGTTGTGCGCCCAACAATTTTCTGGGTTTCATGCCGAACTGCTCTGGCTCAGATCGCAGCGACGTCATCACGGAAACGCACAAAGATATCTGTGGAGCGGACCCTGCAGGTGCGGCTGTCGACCTGCAGTCTCGCCTGATAAGCTCGCATTGAATAGACAATTTTGTGATCCGTGACAGCTGCTGGATTGCATGTATTAGTGATGGCTCAACAAGCAAGTTCCTCACTGTACCATGGGCTGTGATAGTTAGTGTAGGGTTCAAAAAACAGGGCATAAATATGACTTTTGGACATTCCACTTTGAGTACTTTTGTGCAGAACAGAAAGTTTTGGCCATCCTATAATTGCCAATTTAAACGATTTCCATTTAATATCCAGTACGCCCCGCTCTCTGCTGCTACACTGCAGCAGTGCCACTGCTGGCTGGCTGATGTTCTGTATGGTGTGCATTTGGGTGGAAACCTCAACCACACATGCTTTCAGCTTCGATTTGTCCCTGGCTGAAGCACTGGTAGCTCAGCATGCAACATGAACGGCACATAGTCACGAATAACACCTGAATACTGGCACCACATCTCCCTCAGGTGCACTACCTTCTATGTGCCGCAGGCTGGCAGCACATTTATTGGTTTTCTGCTGCAGGCAACTGTGCTTATGCTTAGCAGATGGCTGGACATACCTGACATTGTCATCGCCCGCAGTCTGCAAAGTGGCTTTTACATTGCTTGTTCAAGGGAACAGCACTCTTGAACAACATTGTTGCAGGAGATGTACCCATCACAGCCTCCCAGATTCAAGAGCAATATTTGTCACGTCCTAACAGGTGTAACACAAGGCTTGCAGCTCACCTCATTGATCTTTCACTGTTGTCACTCTTTTCAGTGGCTGGACAGGTGTATCTCCCTCCATAAGGACCGTGGCCTGGAGTGCAGCCTGTTTGCACCAATAACTGGTGGGATGTACAGAGACCAGAGAAGCAGGTCAGCCATGGAGAGCATCAAGCGTGACGTTGCAGGTGTGTCAACGAATGAATGCACCCTTAGCAGAGGAAGCTGACCAGAATCAAGGCCCATATCTCCTGGTGCACTAAACACAGAACGAATGCACCCTTAGCAGAGGAAATTGACCAGCATCTCTTGAGTGTTCGAATTGGAATGCAAGATGCAGGTGTGCCAAGGTTGCTGTTAAATTAACTCATGAAGTACCGTTGATTGGTCAGTTGGCAGCAAGTTGCACTTCCCAGCCCATGCACCATTGCAAGCAATGAAGGTCACAGCAGGAACCAACAAGAATCAATTCATTTTGTCAGGGCTACACACACACACACACACAAGCTGCACGACACAGGTTGTGATCCTCTTTGATCTTATGTGTTGGAATTGCTATATCACTGCCATTTTCCCTCTTGGGTGATGTTCGTAGCTGTGGCGGCAACCCAATCTCAGTAACATGTTGAGACATCTAGCATCAATGTCTTTGTTGTGTGCTTGCAGGATTCAGCCTGTGTGGTTTCGCAACGGGCGAAACCCCCGAGGAGCGGCCAGCTCTGTTGGAGTCTGCACTGCAGCACCTGCCACCTGAAAAGCCAAGATTGGCTGTGGGACTGGTGAGAGTCCTTGTACTTCCATGTGTACAGACTTTTGTCAATTGTCTTTGGAGTCAAGATGTTCGACTCAATTTAATGGTAGAGGTGTTAGTTTTGTGTGAACAGTGTTGAATGACACAGTTGGCACTGATTGCCAGTGCTTGCAGTGGATTGTTCTGACCAGGTCGTTGCTGGCAAGGTAATGGTGCTAACAGTTGACAGCTTAGCTGTGTTTGGTGCCGCTCAATCCGGCTTTCATGCCATTTGAACTGCTTGTCATGAGAACTCCCCTGCATTCTGCAGGACGCACGAGCCATGCGATTAACTTTGTGGGCGTCTTGTCGTGGGCGGTGGTTACTGTGCTAACGCTGATCGTTGGCTTAAACGTCAGAGAGCCTGGCAACAGTCGGGCTGGGAATGGCTGATGTTCTGTGGATCAAGTGCATGCTTGGCAGCTTTACCGGATTCCAGGTGTTTCCTCATTTGTCAAAACATCCCTTCTGTTCCCTGGTCCCATTGAGTTTTGTTTGAACCGTGTTCTGTCATTACTTGGGTGGTCCCCAGGGGAGCCCAGACGACGTCCTGGAGGCTGTCGATAGTGGGGTGGACGTCTTCGACAGTGGCTTTGTTCACGAAGTGTCCGCTGGTGGGTACGCCCTGTCCTTCGCACACTGCCTCCAGAGCGATGCCAAGATCGACCCAGACAGTGGTGCAGACGACTTGAAGATCAACATGTGGGCACAGGAACACAGGTGGGCAATTGGCAGAGCCGCAGCTCTGTGAACATGGACGTTGGGATTGGCGTTTGTGGTGTTCATATCATTGAACAGCAGTGCCAGGGATCCTCATTTGTCATTGTCCAAGGTGTCCTTGTCAACTATAAAGTGCTTGATGTGTGTGTGTGTGTGTTGGGCTGTGTTTTCTGTGATGAAATAGCTACTGTTGCCCAAATGGCGATCCTAGCAGGTGGAATTAGTCGTCATATCGTTGTCTATGTGCTTGTTCCATTGCAGAGCATCTCATGATGATGCTTTATGAGACCAATGTCGAACAGCAGCCAAAAGAACATTGTCTCCAAGCCAAGTTCTGTAAATTCAGCGGAAGCCAATTCCTGTTGGCGGCTCCAAGCAGTCTTTGGGGTGGCACCTTTAAATTAGCCCCAGTCGGGTACTAGCGAGCTGCCATGGAATCGCATGGGCAGGTTCTGGCTTGCTCATTGTGCGTCAAGTGTTGCGACCACATGGATCATGTCACGATGGCATGTGCAAGCTTCACCATTTCGATAGACATTATCATTCGTTTTTGGCAATTAAGTGCAATAGGCCACTGTGATGAACACCCCTCAGAATTCTTATGTCCCACAGTGGTTCCTGTGTGAAATTTGTGATTGATGCACGCCCACGGGACAACAATCCAGGTGGTCACCGGCATGCCTGATGCATGTTGACTGATTGAGCAACCATTTCATTGGAAAGGGCCATATTGCGATCTCAGATTTGGACCACTGAGCGAAAACTGTGAGAACCTGCTCATGCTGCGTCATTCCCTAGCACGCGACCAAAGCCGTGCAATTCTGCTCTGCTTTGTGTTGGTTAGGAGGGATCAGCGGCCGCCAGTGGAGGGATGCAGCTGCTATTGTTGCAAGAACCACTCACGCGCTTACATCCACCACCTCCTCCAAGTCCACGAGATGCTTGCAGAGATCCTTCTGCACATGCACAACGTCCACCACATGGGGCAATTCTTCGACGCCATAAGGAGCTCCATACAGGAAGGCAAATTCGCAGACTTGAAGTCCAAGTTCAGTGAGAGGAGGAGACAGGCCATGGCGTGCGATAGGGGGAACGTGTAGCAGCGTTGCAGGCTTGGGCACGTTCACGACGCTTCCCAGTAGCAGTGGGCCATGTTGCAGTCCGGCCAATGCACTGGCTGCGTGTGTCACGACAGGCCAAGGCAAGGAGCTGGCTATTTTGGGCTCGCAGTGCACGACTTGCACCTTCCAAGGGAACGATCCTGACAGTCCAAGCAAAGAGTACGGGGGGTTGGCAGCACACTGAGTCCCCCGTGGGCAGAGCCAAACTGCTTTCCAAACGAACGGCTGCAACCGCAGTTGGCGACATGCATGCACGAGGCTCCGCATATTGCAGTTATTGCCTCCTCCCCTTTCTCTCTTGGTGTCGTTTAGGAAGTAACGCCTGTGTACCCTTTGCAGAAGGGATGAAAGGGGATGCACGCGATGGATGAGAGATGAGAGCGCAAATGTTTGTCGTGCACAGACGTCTCGCATGGCTGGCAACAGTGCAAGGTGACCAGGCCACGTTCAGTGATGGCTCGCCCCGGGCCACATCAACAGTTTGACCTTCGCTGGGTGCAATTGCTGGACCATTGTCGAGAGAATGTCCTTGTCACTCACTTCCCGCTCTCGTTTTAATACTGTTTCACATTGCTTAGAATCGCGTACCAGCATTTCGCTTTTATGCATCAACGCGACCACGATTCTGAACGTGCTGTTGTGCGCCATTCTCAATCGGTGGCCGCCCTGCCTCGGGGATTCCTCTGCCAGCTTCTAGCTTCCCCGCTTGCTCTTTCGAATGCAAATTTAACCAAAGACGTTCAGCATATTCCCACCCTCCTGGTTGCAGATGCCCGCCAGCAACGTTTCCTGGGCGCGATGTGGCTTCACAGCGCTGCGCCGTTGCACACCGGCAACACCAACTCCCAATCGCACTCCTTGGCCCCGAAACAGCCTTGTAGGCGAAATGCCGCCGTTGTGCCCTTTTCTGACAAAAGAAATCAATTGCGAAGGGCCTGGCCGTTCATTGGCAGTTGGCTTGGCGCCAAAGCCTCTCAGGAATTCCAGACAGGCTGTCCAGGTCTTGCGAGCTAGCCCTCACCCGGGAATATGGGAATGGGTGGGTCGGCAGACAATGCCACTGATTGTGGAGGTGCTGAGCCCATTGGCTGATCAGCGACAACACAGCCGAAGGGGAAGCAGCAACATCCGAAATACTGTTTACAACCCTGGAATGGGATGCTTGTGTTTTGGCGCAACTGCTTCGTCTATACGTCTTAGGGAGAGTGTTGCAAATTTCTGGCACCACGTTGAACGCAATGTTCGCACGCCAGTAGGAAGTCACGCCATCAAGCGCATGCCAAATAAGCCTGCTTCTACAAATCCAGCCCGTCGCGTGGGTTCAGCGACTCCTAACAGCATTCCTTCCCACTAACACCCAGCAGCATCGTCCCAGGCCTCGTCGCATTGAGGGCTCTACCATACATACCAAGCCCGCACGGCACATGCATGGGGCCACACGAGGGCACCAAGGGCCTGTAAGGCTGGACCGCCCCTCAGCGCCGTTCTGGCGATCAAATTTCCAGCACCCCGCGCTGTCACGGACTGCGATCCCCTGTTCGAAAGATCCAAAGTCACAATCTGAGCCTCGGAAATCGCCCATGGCGCTTCAAGCTGCGCCAACAGTCTGAAGGATGCCGCCTTGGCATATCGACCTCCTGGCATGAGCCATATCCAGAGCTGCGTCATTCATTGCTTTGCTGCGGCCTTGAGCGCGTTGAGTGCGCTGCCACTCTTGAACCAATGGATCTGGTTCAGGTTGAAGGTGTGGTTCACGGGGAATGTGTATGTGGATCCATCCACACGCTTGCCCTCCAGCGTCAGTGGTTTGCCAGGCGTGAAGTCCTTGAGGCCCAAGATCGCAATCCTGTAAGCACCAACCGCAGGCGTCAACGTCACAATGGCCACGGAGTCGTTGCGCTTTTGCGCCCTGGATTCTTGAATTGATTTCACTGCATCACTGACAGATGCCATGCACAAATCGCTGTTGCCACATTGCCACGTCCTGCTGCGCACGGTTTCTGGGGCAAGTACGACAGCAGCGACAAGCATCAAGCGACATTACCAATGCATAATCACTCCCGGCACATGTCCTGCTCAATCACGCAAGACATACTGCACAACCAAAACAATCACTGCTAGCTGTGTATCGCTTGCACAGCAATTCTCTCACGCTTCCCCAGTTCCTATACATCGCAATTCTTGAAGAATGAGCATACAGCATTGAGCATATGGAGAACAGTCGGAGCCCAAACTGGTGGCAGCAACGAACAAGGCATGGGTAACACAACCCAATGAATCGCATACTTATTAGATATTCAGATACTTAGTAGAAGTATATGTGAATCGCATTTCGACATGGCACCCATGTCACATTGCCGTGTGTCTGCTGCACCCACTTGTCGGACGGAGCCACTTTGTCGTAGTCCGCAGGGTCTGCGAAGGTCAGTGGAAGCATACCCTGCTTCTTCAGGTTCGTTTCGTGGATGCGCGCAAACGACTTGACAATCACAGCACGGCCACCGAGGTGGCGCGGCTCGAGTGCTGCGTGCTCTCGGCTGCTGCCCTCTCCGTAGTTATCGTCGCCCACAACGACCCATGGCTGCCCCTTGGCCTGCCACAGAATGCAGACACCAGGCTTTGAACACAACATCTCTATTGCAACAGAGATACAGTACACAAAAAATGATGTGCATGCTGCCAATCTCCACTATCAAATCCCGCAGCAGTGAGGAGTAACTGCGTCTCTGTCCCTAGTAGGCAATGCAATAGCAATGGCACAGTATTCAACACAACATCGCCCCGCATCGAAGGCCGCGTCCATATATTTACGGAGGGATTTTCCATCAGCGTTCATTCTGGTATTGCAAGACTATGTGACAGCCCGCAAGGAATGTACAACATCACGCAGTGGAAATCGCGCACCAGTCTGTTTGTATGCGCACGTCGCTTTTGCAGAACGGAAACGCAGAATCAACACAAGTGCAGACACTAACCGTGAACAAGCATACACAACAGAGTATTTGATGCAAAACATCCAATATCAGGTGCCACAAGCAATGACCATCAGGTATGCCTTGGATATATAGGAAACCATGATAATCACAACAAAAGCACATGTGGTGTAACATGACTCAACATTCTGAACAGCCCACAACTCAGATGTTCAACGGAAGGCGAACACTCAGACGTGACCAATCACCAACAAACAACTACTGCCAAATAGAAGACTATTTCGAACACAGGCCTTGACCCACCTTGTATGCACGGGCTGTGTCTGGGACACTGCCATACTCCCCTGTCAGCACGTTCTTCACGTTGTTGACCTCCCCATTCTCAGAGTTGACGGCGCCGATCAGCATGTTGTTACTGATGTTGTCCAAATGGCCACGGTACTTCAGCCATGGGCCAGCCATGGAGATGTGGTCCGTCGTGCACTTGCCCTTGACCTGGTGCAAAACAGCACACGACTTGGACATAGGGGCACAAAGGCTGGCCATTCAGCACGGCCTCTGATTCTAACTTCCTCACAAAAGCTGGCGTGTTCCAAATGGTCATTGGAACATCGATTAAAACTTAAGCATCAGTACAGAGACAAAGCATCTATTTGTGTCCAAATGCCTGCAAGGGCCGTCTGCATGAAAACACGCTCTGACTGTAATTGCCATCCAAGCATGCTGCCAACAAAGCTCACTGCACAATGCACTGCGACACAACAATGGCTGTGATCTGTGGTGGAGTTCCTGAGGAAACCTGCATGCTACAATGATTAGGCTGCAGGATATCTGAATTGTGCAGCAGTCCTTGTTTCTGAAGCCGATGGGCCTATTTATTGCCCAGCACCTTATGCACACATAACTCTAACCCCAAACAACAAGCGCAGCTGAATTGGAGCACAGTTCGCCACAAAAAGACAGCAGCACACAACTGGCATCAAACCAGGCTGCATCATGCAGCAACAACAGATGCAAGAGCACCTTGATCAAGACAGCAGCATCCTTCAGGTCTTCACCATCCCATTTGGCAAAAGGTGCCAGCAGCTGGAGGCGGTTGCTCTTGGGATCCACCACCACGTCAATCCCGCTTCCATCCTTTGGTGGCGGTTGGAATGTGATGGCACCTGCAAAACAACAACAGTGCTTACTTGTCAGGTTCCCAAGGTGCAGAAACAGTCAACATGTACTGATACTGTGAGTGTGCGGGGAACAAAACATGAAGCCGATGTCCCTACGCTCATCGTTACCGTTCAGGTGCATTTGCCCAGCCTTTTTGACAATGGAATCTACAAATAAACGAGCCAATAGTGCCAGGTGACTAAACAATTCCCAACTGACTGTCTTTGCTGATGGTGAAGACTCCCAGGCTCTCTCCCACTAGGCCAAAATGCAGCAAACAAGAAGATTAGGAGCAGAGCAGTTGATGGCAGCTCACACCCAGAAACTGCATGGATTCAGTGGAAAGGTTGGCACTGCAAAATCACCACTCAATCTTGCCCAATTCATCGTGCACATTCTCACACTTCATCTACAAGTTTTGAGCATTCTCTATGGACCCAATGAGAAGAAATACACCAGCACTGTGCACAACCACAAGGGTATTCCGCCCATTCCATTGAATAATAAATTCCCCCTTTGGACACCCACTCTGAAATGATTCCATTGCACCTCCCAGCGACAATCAATAGTCCAATTGTCCTCTTCACAAAGCTCAGAACCAAACCATTCCTGTTACCACAGAGCAAAAGGGCAGCCAAACGTTTCTCTCGATTCTGTTAATTGAAGTTGATGATGGGCAATGTGCATTGCAGCAACATTCTGCTCTGAACAGCTCGCTAAAACCTCAACATTCAGAAAGGGCTGGCAACGCAGCGCACACCCTGACAAAACTCACCTGACTCAAACCCTTTGTTGGGAAGTTCATCCCCTGAGGGAGGCTGCAGCATAAGCTCCTGGCCATCAGCGCCAATCAACGTATCCTTCTCAGGGTTGAACGTCAGGTCACCAGCAATGGCAAATGCTGTCACGAGCTCAGGTGATGTTACAAAGGCGTGAGTGGCTGGGTTTCCATCGTTGCGACCAACAAAGTTCCTGTTGTAGGATGTCACGATGGAATTTGCTTGCCCTGCAGATTGACAGCAGCAGAATCACGATGAGCAAACCACAGGGTGATAAACAACAGCAGCAAGGCCATTGAACAACACAAGTGCCGGCATCGTTATGAATAGCGTGATGCATTGATGTCATTTCACACGGACTTTCAGGTGACGGTGCGGACTCACTCTTCATCACCCTTTTGGCACAAAGGCAACTTTGCCACACTTCAACAAGTGCAACAAAGCAGAATGTCGCAGCCATAGGTGATCTTCTACCCACAAGAGACAACAAGATTAAAGGACTGAGCAAACAACTATTAAGGATATTCAGTGCACATTGTGGTGCATATGTTTGCAAGTGCTGCCCATCTTCCACTTATAAGGTACCCGGTCACCATTCTGGTGAATTTGTCAATTCAAGGGGATTTCAACATGCTGGAGTCCATTAATGGCAGCTGCTGGGAACACTGTCGCCTACAAGCCACATCCATTCATCCACCAACGTGCCATTGCCCCACCCTTAACATATTTGAGCCCCAGCACATCTTTACCAGGCTCAAACATCACCAAACAACTGACTGGGATGTTTATTGCACTGCTTGGACGAATGCAAACAAAAAGATTCCCACATACCCATCTCAACGTCTGTCCTTTTCCATTGCCCTATGCATGGACCACAGGCATTGGCAAGCACCGTGGCTCCAACCTTCTCGAACACCTCCATGAACCCATCCCTCTCGATTGTCGCACGGATCTGCTCCGACCCAGGGGTCACAGTGAAAGGCACCTTGGCCTTGATGCCCGCCTGCAGGGCCTGCTCCACCACACAGTCATAATCAGCAAGATGACATGAACCTAAATGCCAAGGCACATATCGTTGCTGCATTACCCAGCTTCGCTTTTGTGCAGAAAATGGTGTTGAAACAAGGGTGCAGCAAGGCGAATGCTGTCAGTCTTAGTCACTTTTCCTTTCAGCACGGGATAATGTGTGTATGCGAGGTGTAATGAGCAGAACATCCAAAACAAATATTGGAGATCAGTTTGCACCCATCATCGCCTATGAAAGTGCAATCCTAAAAAGTGGCATCAAATGTCTCTTGCCTGCTTCGCCACGCTGGCTGCACGCATCATGTCCTCGTAGGAGCTGTTCGTGCAAGAGCCTATGAGGCCTGCCTTGAGCTCACTTGGCCACTTGTTGTTCCTCACACTGTCTGCAAACTGTGACAGGGGGTGGGCCAGGTCAGGGGTGAAGGGCCCATTCACATGTGGCTCCAGCTCACTGAGGTTGATCTCAACCAGTTGGTCGTACTCACAGCCAGCGTCAGGCACAAGGTGCTCCCTGGTTTGGACAGCACACATTTTCTCAGTCAGCAACAGCCATTAGTCCAGAGGGGCCCCCATTACAGCCTTCTGACTATAATATGCATGCAAAATTGACCTGCTGGGACCGATATGGCTGCACAGGGCAAATCAGTCCCCATGTGCCTTGTGCACAAGAAAGGACATGCCTGCAGAAGCAGCACATACAGCTTGGCACGCTATGGCAGTGCCGTATCTAACCTTCTTTCAGGGTCCCTTCGCATCAGAAAGATACCCAACTTAGAAGGGCTGTCCCAACAGGCAAGGGGCAAACTTTGCACAGTTGTTGAGGGCTTGTGCTGAAAAAAGCATTGCCATTGTGTGGTGACATGAACTGACCAACACATGGGCAACCAGGCATCTGGGGGAAAGGAATACGTCAATTTTGTCTCGTTCTCTGTAGAGATTAGTCTGGAGCGCGAATTGCTGCAGTCTTCACCAGGATTCGATGTTCTGGTCTGCAACACAAGTGCACTGCCATGCACTGAAGACAGATGTCCAGGTGTCAACTACAGCAAGAGAGGGTTGTCCCTGGAGTGGATATATATTGTGGGATATCCGAAAGGCAACAACAACAACAACAGTGTCAACCTAGTGACAGCAGTGCTCAATGAGCTGCAAAGGCGCTTCAAAGAAGGCTATGTTGTGTTGATGCTCAAGAGGCACGATTTTTGAAACACAATCCTCAAAGAGACAGTGGTAACAGCCGCACCTGAATGAGTCGGCCATGCTGGCAATGCCTGCCCTGTTGGTGCTGACAAGGTAGTCATGCATCCTTGCATTGTAAGGAAACATGGAGGTCGTCGCCCCAATCTCTGCACCCATGTTGCAAATCGTACCCATGCCTGTGGAAGAGACATAAGGCAAACTGCATCAATGCACAGCAGGGCTATGGAACAATTGGTGGTGAACAGGAGCAAAGAAGTTGCACCTGGGAATGTGGACAGAACACAACATCGATTCATCATCAAAAAGCAGTCATTCATCACTGAGTGGCAACACCACAGTTAAGATGTATATCATCATCCTGAAGTGAAAATTGGCTTATGTGTGAGCCAGCACCCAACATGCAATGTCCACCCAGAGGCACAAGGTCGAAACCATCACAGGGAACTACAGAGATGTGCGCTGTCAACAGACCTCCCCAACGTCCCACAATACTCTCTTGTGCAGATGAAATTATATCTGCCATTAGTTTTGGCAGTGCAACAGCTGCCTGTCACTTCTTGATAACTGCACTCACAAAAGTGATAGCAGATACTGCAATTTATCTCTGAACCACATTACATCGAGGTGACTCAAAGGAACAACCACTGAATGGCCCACTAGCAGCCAGGCCACAGGGAGCATGGCTTCCACAGCCAGTTTGCGAACCACCATGCACCAGGGCAGGGAGAATGAGAGCTTACCAGTGCACGACATGCTGTCAACCCCAGGCCCATGGTACTCGATTATGGCGCCTGTCCCACCCTTCACACTCAGGATTCCTGCCACCTGTGAACACCAGCATAGTCTGCTCACATGCCATGCATTCCAAAATCACTCAATGTCAACAGTGCTCACAATCGTATTGAATACAATCAAATCAGAGTTCAACAAACCATACCAGTGGAGTAATCTAAGCAAGTTTGTCATTCCCATGCACTCATATTTCTAACACTTGCACTTGAATCTGACAATGGCATCCCGCAACTGTACAGCTCCATACATCTGTTCTGTCAAAACACGGCTCAAAATTTTGTCCATCGCTTGTTCAGGATCTCAAGGATGGCCTTGTAGTTTGGAGTACCTCTGTTTTTGACTATTCCTATTACCACTGGCACGCCAATCTTCTTCCTGTCAGCTGCGGTAACAGAAGCTGTGCAAGGTGTCTGGGAGCAACCCTTGCAACTTGCAGGTTTGCAGTCACTTTCGAACCAGAACACTTTCATTCTGCCTCCACACCAGTCGTGCATGTAACTATCACAGGTGCAGAAGGTTCTATGATGCAAAGGCCAACTGCCAGCATTTTATTCCATCAACCCATGCCTGCCAAACAGCCTAGCAGGAAAATGTTCCCTACTATGCATGCACAGGACACAGTTCTTGTGAACCTACAACTGCGCTTCTGCGAAACTTTCATCGGTGTTTATGGGAATGCAAATATGGGAAACCACCCACAGTCTCAGCAGATCTGCCAGTTGAGTGGTCCATTCCACGATGGGCTCTTCTGTGAGAGGTGGTTGTCCATTCACTGGCATGATTTACCTTTCCTTCAAAACACTTCCTTTGAGACAGGAGGTCCTTTCAAGCACTCTCACCTTGCATATCACATCCTTGGGGGACGTCCACTTTGACATTTTCCCTGTGAGCTTCACCCCAATGACCTTTGGGGCCTTCAGCTCCCATGGCAGACCAGCCATGACGTCCACGGCATCCGCACCACCAACGCCAACAGCACACATGGCGAGACCTCCCGCATTGGGCGTGTGGGAGTCAGTGCCGATCATCATCAAGCCAGGAACTGCATAGTTTTCCAGCACGATCTGCAATTGGCAAAAGGTTTCAACAGGCTCAGTCATTAGGGAATGTGAGTGTACTTTCTGATATCCAACTCTGCTTTGCAGCTTTCGAGTGCAATATTCCAGCTGAGGTGTGAAACTAGACTTCTGCATAGTTACGTAAATGCGGCAAGAAAGGGGATAATCAATTAGTGGTCAATTCCAAATATGCAACCATTGTAGAAAGTCCTTGACATCTGGTGTTGATTGAAGGCTCCATGTGTGATGTATGCAGAACGGGGAAATGCAACAGAATGGAACATGCCGCACACAATACTGTAAAGATACTCATAGAACAGATGCGCAGCATGCAAGCCCAAGAAATTCTCAAAAGATTTGGGAATGAGCAGCTGCTGCTGTAGATGCACTGCTATGGGACATGTTAACGAGCAAACTCGATCCAGTCCAAATGGCAGGGAAAAACGTAGTCCAGCTGGAAAGGTTTGGGGTTCAGGGGTTATGCAGCTTATGGATTAGGTTTAAAGATTCAGGGTCTATATTGGTGTTTTTAGTGCCTTTTCTTTCCTTTTGGGGGGTGGGGGTGGAATGGGGGGAATGGGTGTGATGCATTGCTGAACAGGTCAAACCTCCACAGGTTGGACTAGCTGTTTCCACACTTGAGTTGGTACAAGCTCTCCACCCATTAGGTACGAACCCACTCAAATAATCAAACTTGGACGTCAAAACACTCAGATCTCACATCTCTTCCTTTTAAGAGTAGTAGGGAAGCAGACACCAGCATCATCTACATTGGGAACGCCTCATGGTTTGGGAGTCTTACACAACGCCTTCAACAGATGTTGATAAGCACACTTGCAACCTGCAACGACACTGCTGAGCCCCAGGCTGCAGCAGTTATCCAGCTAGCTTTTTGAGGCCATGTTCCTCACAGAACAGTACAATGGATTGAACACATTAAAGGCAACTACAGTGTGCTCGCAAGCACAATGCCCTTGCAGAACATGCTGCCAGAAATCCTGCCCACCTGGTGAATAATCCCTGAGCCAGGTTTCCAGAAGCCAACGCCATACTTGGCGCCGGCACTGGCAAGAAAGTCGTACACCTCCTTGTTGGTCACCTGAGCATGCTTCAGGTCAGCCTCTCCACCATGGCCTCCCCTGTTGGTGACACATCCACAACCATCGCATCAGCTGGCACCAGACTTTCATGGGATTGGACACATTTCCTGCTCAAACCACGCACAAGCTTGCTGTACAAGCAGCCATACCACCTTCAGGGTGCAAGGGCATTGTCTTGCTCTCTGAGGCAAATGCACTCCAAAAGGAAACAACATTTCTACAGGAAGAGGCTGACACTGTATGTTGTTGGTGGACCATGTTCCTGTGTGACACAATCAGTCAGTCTGGTTCAATAGCATAACAAAGTGGCAACAAGTCTGCTGCTCTCAACTGAACGGCAAAACTTCAGGACCTGGCTGTGTCATGCACTAAGCCTTCAAGCGCCAGGATAATGGATCAGAATGACTACAGCATCCCCTGCTTCAGTCAGCTTCGGACAGGTTGGCCAACTCCCAAGGCCACAGCACTTGGTTCACGTCAATATCCTGTGGCCCCTTGCAGATTTCATGCTATCTGTTTGACGAGCATACCCCCATGCACAAAAAAAAATAATTGAACCCACCAATATGGTGGCACCTTCATCTTTATCAGCTTTTATCCGGTCTTTCACTGTGATCGTGAATCCACCAGAAAGAGCAGGCTCGCCACAGCCCACAAGGCTGGCCAACAAAGTTTTGCGCAAACAGGAAGTCCACTATGTCCCATGTGTGACCATTTTGATACAGGACAGCAGTTGGTTCGAGAAGCAATCAGCCCCGCTGGCACCTGTCTTCCTGGTCCTGAGTTGTGGCCTCGATGAGATGGTCACAGTGGATGGTGGATGGCACTGCTGCCTTCAGCAGGCCAGAGGATATGAACTGGAGCATTGCCATTTGTGCTGTTGCATCCTGCATAGCCACCCGGTCTGCCAACAGGACAAGCAAACAGTCAATGGCCCTTGGGAGACAAAAAGTGACTCTGTAGCCAACAAAACAGTGCTTCGAGTGCAATGTGGATAGAATACATGCCAGAGTGCAAATTGTACTTTTGATGAAAGGCCGAATGCACTTCGCTCCAGCTTCATTTTGCTTGAAACTAACATTGGCAAATCTTTGCACAGCAGAGCCCCTGATTATCAACTGCCCTGCCTCACAAATGCACCATGAGGCAACATTACCATCGGAGCGAATGCAACAAGCTCACTCGTCAGAGTGTCAAACAACAGGAAAACAATAGGAAATACAAGTACACACAATCCGTCAATTTCCATCACCACCAAAGCCCTCACGATCCCATTATGTGGACAACAATCATGGTCCTCATGTCTTGCACAGTTGAACAGAGAGGCCCCCTGGCAACGAGATCGCCTTTTGCCTCCGCCAAGTTGAGGAGCAGCACGGCTGTCTGAGCAGCAAGGCACTCAGAGATCTCCAGATCCATTGACGGCATCCAACCATCACCTGGCCTCAGGTTGAGGTAGCTCACGCCCCTGACCAGATCCTTGGTAGTGGGGTCATCCAGATGCCCGTAAACGACCTGTGCGGAACGACGCGCGCCAATTTCAGCCTCGGCCATAGGCCGCCAAATCACACCACATCACGGCGAATTCAAACTCGTCGGTCGCCGCCCCGCGCGGGCGCGACGCTCACCTTCTCGGCCAGGGTGAGCGGCTTGTTGAGGGTCTTCCTGGCGATCTGTGATCGCAAGCAGCCCGGTTAGAATGCGCCCCTGGGCGCGGAGGCAGGCAACGACAGAACGAAACGCTCGGCAAAGGCCGAGTGTGACATCCCCTCACCAAAAGCCGCTCCTCCATCTTCTCGTACCGCCCGTTCAGGTACTCCTCCGGCTCCCAGACGCTCATCGTAGTCTGCAACGCCCAAACCGCCCGCCGTGAGACCCATCCAGAGATCTCCGAGCCCTCCACGTCAAAATCGCCCAACTGCCCACCGGAACCATTGCCAAACGCAGATCGCCGCTCGGGAGGGCGAGGCTTGAGCCTTCCAGCTCAGTCACCATCAGGGGACCACGGACGGAGCGGCGGAATCAGCGGGGGCCAATCCGGCGGAAAAACACATTCAGCCGGCCTCGACCACTCTCGGACGAGAGCAACCGCCCGCAAACGCACCTTCTCCTTCCCCGCCACCGTCGACAGGGACGCCCGCACGGCCGTCGTGGCGCACCTCGACCCCAGTGCCCTCCTCCGGAGCTGCATCGCGAACGGCGATCAACGTCAGGGGCGCCCGCCCGCCTCCGATCGGAGCCTCAGGGCGACGGCGAGATTCCCGCGGACGCACCTGGCCGGCCATCCGCGATGCGGCGCCGAAGATCGCCATGCTGTCGCCCGGGCGCGCTGGCGGGCGCCACCCGGGGGGACGCTGCGGAAGAGCGGGGCCCGGGACGGAGGCCGCGGGGTAAGCGCGCTGGGCTGGCTAGAGGGCGCTGGACAAGGATTGGGCGCCCTTTGCTGCCAATGGTGGATGTCAGGCAGCTGAAGGGGCCCGTGGGCGAAAGGGTGCGCCCGGGAGCGTAAATGGCGGTGGGGTGGGCATCATGCAATGCATCCATGGGGTGGGGCCTGGGGTGTGACGTTGTGTTTCACCGCGGCGTAATCGCGAAATCGGGTGGGGTGAGCGCATGCGCAGGTGCCCAGCCCGGTGGTTGGCCGTTCACCACAGGATGCTGAACTCTTCCGCATCAAACAGTTTTATCGTTACGCTTTTTGTTCCGCATTTTTTCCAGAGCTTTTGCTTCATCACGTTGCTCCGCAAAAAATTTATCGTTTTCTCCGCTGAAAATGGCCAAGCGCTACGTTAATATGCGGAAGGGTTGAACACACAACAGTAAAAGGACAGGGTGGGTGTGGGGAGCGGGAACGGAACCGCATGGGTGGGCTCGCAGTGCGCAATCTTTCAAAGATCAAATTGGTCCTCTCCATGCGCCGTGTGTTGGTTTATAAATGTGAGCGTGAAGTGTTGAAGAGCTGCGGACAGGCGTGCTCTGCGGACACAACAAGACGGTTGCCTGCTAGCAGCATGTCAACTGATGCGCATGTACCACCGCCCGGCCATTGCCCGACATCGCCAGCATGTTGAAAGGGCTTGCTTTGCCATGTTCTAGCAAGTATGTCATCAACGGAATTGGCCCCAGCCACTGCGGAAATGTGCGGTCACTAACCGAAAGTTGCCTCACACTTTCCAGCGACTCAGACCTGAGGCCAAGCCACACGGGGGCACGACAGCTGTTTGAACGCTTCGTAACTGTGGCGTATTCGGCTCGTGAGTTCATCTGAGCATGAAGTTGTCGTAGAAATTTCTGAACCCCAAACATGAGGTGTACGAGACTAGGTTTGATGCTGCATAGGCAAGAAAAAGAGGCTCCCAAGATAGGTTCCGAAGTTTATGAGGCGCGTTTGTCTCAGGCCCTGAGACTCACAGAATGGACGCAAAAGGGTAGCTTGGGATAGAACTGCCAATGACAACCACAAAGACCGCAGACTCGTATCATCAATGATAGGGACAAAGTGTCTGCGCGCATCTATGTGTTACATGTGGTGGACGTGCTAATTTCATATCCAATAAAGTACATAATGCAAACAGAAAACACGTTGGATGCGGCAAGGGACAATCTGAGCTTGTGGTAGTTGTTTCTTTTCGGGTGCATGGGTGAAGTGCGAACAGATGCCTTGAGTGAAATTTTATCAGTTTGATGGGGAGAACGGCATGTGGTTGGTTTTGTATCTAATTCTCAGTTTATAGAATAAATAGATGGCTCACCAAACTAACCATGCAGACTCTCATATGTGATCGCCGAGGGCCTCAATTTCAAGTTTCCGTGTTTTGAGTGCGCGTGATTCATTAATTCGGTAAGCATTTGCTGAATCAAAAACGATACGGGGTGCATGCGCGGCAAACACTAAGTGGGGCAGAATATCTTCGAACTAGGTGGACGCTATCCATATTCATGTACATATTTGAAGTGGGGAGCGGCATGTTGGGCGCGTGCCCGTTCTTCGAGAATCTCGCGATTTCCTAACAAGCCCTCCAATGTGGACGACGAGTCGTCCAGAACGGAATCTCAGGGGTCTTTGACCAAGGCACAAATTTAGTTGCATGCTGCGGAAAAAGATGTATATAAGACTGAATTGTGCAGACCGCAAAAATTCGATAGGCAGTCGATTACCGATAGTGGACGGATATCCGGGCCCTGCACAGCTCGTTTAATTTTTGTACCGGGACTTAATAAGGGTATCGTAGACAGGATACAAATGGTTTAGCCTTTTCTGCAGCCTACAGGACAATCGCTGTCAGGCAAGGAATTTGAGGGTTCGCGCTCATTGAATACGCAGGTAGAGGGATTAACAGGTGCTTGCAGTAGTGTTTTCAACATAAGCAAGGATAAGATAAACAATATTAATAAGCGGCCCATTCCTGACCACGACTTTCGTGAGACGCTTTTCCACACTGCTGAATGTGTGTTGCCATTTACTGCAACACAAACGCTTGATCTGCTCAACGTAGAAGACTTTCCAATATCAGCCTCCGTCAAAGAGAAGATCCATGTTCAGAGATTGGTGCCGCCCAGCCTACTGGCGCTCTTCCATGCAGCTGAACTGAGCCACAATCCAAATTCACCTCAATGCTCTATTTGTCCTTAATAATCCCAAGTCAAAAGTTGCCGTAGCGATCCCCATCATTCGACATCAACATGTGCTCATTCAGCTCGCTCGTGATTGCAATCGTGAACTTGGAGCTGACAACATTGACAGCATGCATTTGTTTTGCTATTCATTGCTGTGATGAATCCCAGTCGATCTTCATGGATTTATAAATTGTCAAGTTCTGGTGCTGTTGCGCATAAAATCAGGGCAATTCACTGAAATGCAGCAGATGATGTAGGTTTTTTCAATTGCGCATCATCCCAGAAGGTGGTGCTTCCTAGCACGAAAGTTTTGCTCTGGTAGCTGCACCTGCCTCGATAGGGATGCTCGCCCCACTTCCGCTCCTTCGTTTCCCCAGATTCAAGGCCAGATTCTTTGTGTTGGTGTTTGGATGGAGTGATTGAGCGTTATTGTATTGTTGACTCTTCGGGAGCAGAATACTACTTCTCGGCATGCCAGTGGGACAAGTGCGTTAGACCTTCTTCGAAACAGCGGTGTGTTTAGATGTGTTCCCCAATTTTGTGGACGAACAACAGACGTTGCAGGTCTACCGGTGACCTCTTTCAGGTGAGCCTTGGTGTCGTAAATACTGGGTTTAAGTCCCAGAAATGGTGCCAAGCCAAAAAAACAGGGCGCTGTTGGGGGGCGGGCGCTATTGAGGGGGCGCTATATAGGTACCCCACTGTACTGATTGGCAATGCAAGATTTTATTTCGAGGGGATAGGATTCCTGCCGTGGAACACCCTTGCAGGCGAACGTTGAGTCATGTTCAATCAGGCAACATTGCCGCACATTATCAGTTCCGTGGGTTTCTGTCAACCCGCCCAAAAGCTGTGCTGCCACCCATATGAAGGCTGGGTGGCTAGCAAAAATTGCACCAGCCCCGCAGCCTGTCGCCCCGCCCGCTACCGGGCCAGCCCAAAGGCAATCCAGCTCCCAAGGCGTTTCCCGGCGCATCGAGTCAAACGGCGACCAAACTGCCTGCCCAACTGCCGCGTGGCTGGGCCGTCCGCACGCCGTCGATGGGGACGAAACGAAGGCGCATTGGGGAAGGGCCCTATTCCGTTGACGGCCAGGTTGTTGCAAATACGGTAGGTTCCTCTGCGCGGCATCATGATTGTCTGGCTTTTCTTTGCGCCTTCCGGGCGCCGAGTGTGGGTGGCAGCTGGTGCTACTCAGTTCTCTTGGGCGCTCTTCGCTAAGCAGTAGTAAATCTCCGTCTCACGACAGTAAACCTTAGAATTGATCCTGGGATCAGAGGATCTGGTGCACTTATCAGCCCCTCCTGCTCAAGCACCTCTGTTTACGCTTTTCGACTCACTTCTGGGCTCAACCAAACATGCCGTTGCACCCTCAACACAGCCCACGGGCGAATCCCTTGAACTTCAATATCCTGGGACCAGGCCTAGCCACGGCTTTCAGGGTGCTTGTTCTTTCAAGGTCACAACATGATGGCATGGCTCACGTTTTGCTGTCTGTGGTAGTTTGTGCTGCAAGATAGTCCTGTTCCGGAGGAGGGCTTCTCGATCATCTTCTCTTGTGTGGAAAAGAATCTTCACACAGGGTTCACGCCCAGTGATGCTGTGATGCATGGCCTGTTTTCTGTGTCTGTTGGACAAAGACAGCCCTCACCAACTCTTCACGACCTGTGGACACTAGGGGTACCTTGTGAAGATGTGGGAGGAGGTTGCACAGCTGAGACAGGAAGTGAAGGGCCTGAAGGCAGCGAATGCACGTATCAAGTGCCTGGTCTTACAGGCTATGGTAAGCCAGAGGTGCAGGTCATTATTGACTGGAATGATGAATAGGGCAGAGCACTGTCCTTCCACCTGTGAGGTTGCGATGTTTCATATGTACAAGGTTGAGAGCAGTGTTCAGCCCTTGCCCATGCTGCAGCAAACTACGTGTCACTGCCCCCTCTCGTTCCAGGTAATGACAATGGGATTCGCTGGAGACCTTCTGTCTGAAGGAAAATTCGCAGCCAAACTCTTTGCAAGAATGTCAAAACTGAGTTTAAAGAATTTGGGCAACACCCTGCTTCTTGGCTCTCAGGCCAAAGTGCCTTCTGAGCTATTTTCTCACAGCAGACGCATCTGCAGTGCATTGGGATTCTAAGCAACCTGAAACCTGGCTTCAGGGTGAAGCTGCCGCAGCTGTCGGCCAGTTGTCAAAGGCCACTGAAGAGCTCAACGCCTTGAAAGAGCAGCCACACCAAGTTTCCGAAGACACAAAACCGAGGTGGATTGACAACCCACTCTACAATCGTTGTTGCGACCCTCCACAAGATCGTTTGTCTATTTTAACGACGCCACATGACCATGGATATTCTGCAGAGAGCCAAACGCACCTGACTGGCGCAGGGCCTCGTTTTGGCATGGACATCACAGATCATGGGTACAATTGTTCAAAACTGCCCATGGGGACCTCAAGCGAAGCGGGCCAACCTGTGAGTCGCAGGCAAATGGCTGAAGAGTTGCTGAACATGGATATTGATGGCGACGACCCAGATGTAGATTATGATCTTTTGCCTGGCCCAGTGGCTGGCCAAGTCGATGATTTTGTTGAGCAAACGACAACACAAGAGGGTGCCACCTGGGCCCACGGATCGGTGCCAGGGGTCCTCACGATCGGCAGTTGCGCACAGAAGGCTGAACTTCAGCATGTACCAGGGACGGCACACAAATTGAATGCTGCACCAGTGATGCAGAGACGTTCGGGTGTGGCCAAGGACTGCTTGTGGGAATCTCCAGGTGGCCCAGGGGGATTGTTGGGCAGTGAGCGCTCACAAGCTAGGGTGGCCACGCTCAAACTGGTGGAAACCCTCTGATAGCATTTGTTGGAATGACACTGCGCTGCCGCTGTACATTCCAAGTCGATTGCGCCCACAAATGCAGATATAGAGTGCCCTGAAGGCGATTTGGCTTTACCCACACTGGTGGTGTGGTTCGAGCATCTGGCGCAGGATGCATAGTTCAGTGGAATTCTGTGGCTGTATCTGTGGATACGTGGCAGAGTACTGACTTCACACCGAGCAGGCGATTGTATGCAGCTCTCAAAGTCACAGATTTGTGAGTTTTCGCATTTGGGGACTTCTCTCGCGCCAACCGCATGGTACTGAAGCCCAGCAAGTCCGGGCTGGCATAGCCATTCAGCGTAAGTGTCGACTATGTCATTTGGAGGGCGTCCACCATATGGTGGCTGCAAGAGGCCCTGTGCTTTCTGCATGCTGTCGTGTGAAGGCCAAACCTATCCCAGTGGATTGGGCGGACGCCTTGGCGTGGCTAAGAGGCACTAAAGTCGTCCAGCGATTGGTTGCTGGGAACAAGCCATGACACATGACTCTGGACAATACTCACCATACATCACTCCCATTGACAAATCTCCCCAATGTTGTTTGTGTTCGCTCAGGATGGCCAGTGACCGAACTCACCCACCTGCCCCCGCTTCCCATCAGCAGCCGTCACGAATTCCCCACAAACTCTCATGTGATGTGTGTCAGCGCAGCTGCCTTCCAACAAGCACACCATTGGGGGGGGGGAGGGGGGGGCGGGCGCGTTGCCGCACATGACAAGGAGCAGCTGAATACAGCTGGGCGGGGGCGCCCGACCATCTCGAACTTTCACAATCACAGGTGTGATGCGCAGGTGGTGTGCAGGCGAGGGCGGCCTCCATGCCCCATCCTGTCTCCTGCCACGCACGGACCAAGTACACCCCTACCCTACTACAAAAAGCCAAAGCGGGAACTTGGTGCGACGCGCGGACGTGGTGATGGGCCTGAGAGGCGGTTCTGGCAGGGCTTGCGGCGGCGAGAAGGGCTATAGCGGCAAAGCGCCTGGTGGGTAATCGGCCGTCTTCGTTGCCCTGGGTTTTCTGCACTGCCTTTCGCTTCCTCCACGTCACGGAAGTCACAGAAGGTGGCATGGACAGTCGGGGCGGCGTCACTTCATGACGGACTCGCGGCTTGGGATGCCATGTGCGTGCCGAAGCGGGCGCGATCGAGCGCTGTAACTCAGACTGCGGAGTGGGCGCATATATTGCCGTTGTGGCGATCCGACGCCTGGGTGGTGGCTGTCAGGCAATAGCGCGTTGCGCCCGGCGGTAGTGTCGTACCTGCGCCCCCCAAGCGAAGGCGGCCGGAGTGGGTCGGGGAAATCTGCCTGCTGGATTGGGGTCCTCCGCCCTGCGTTCACGGAGCGAGCCTCGGAGGCGCGTATCCTCCGATTTGTCGCGATCGGAATGGATCGCAGTTAATGACTTCTCGCTCACCGCGCCGACCCGCGCCGAGGCGTGGGCCAGGCCGGTCCGTGCTAAACTCGTCCTTGATGGCAACTTCCCCGTGGGAAAAGTGATGGCCTGATGGCGGCAAGGCTGTATCGGACGCTGTTGGTCCGCGTGGTGTTTGCTCCCGGACCACGTGTGAGTGCTCACGTGGTCCGTCCGCCGTGGGCAATGACGACTGGGGGCTGGCGCTGTGCAAGGCCGCTCGCTCTCAAGTAGCGGAAGGAGTTGTCCTTCCACGGCTGCATCAATGAGTCGGCATCATATTGATTCAAGCGCGCTGTTTGGTATCGGATTTTCACAATAGAATTGCTGATAGTTTATGCATATCCGGATATTTCGCGAGTCGATGACCGGAGTTTACAAGTGCATTGACCAGCAAATATCAGCACATCTACCAGGCACCAGCCCAAAAAACCTGCACGATGTGAGGATGCTGCGAACGCGACAGAAGACGCAGACGGGGGTCCTCCATGCCTTGCTGTTATTGGCACTGCTGTCGATGGACGGGTCGGTGGGCGAGCAGCGGCAGGATTTGACGCCCCTCCAGTGCGATACAGAAGGTACAGACACGCATTCAATCGTCAGTTGACAGTGTAAGCGAGTGCGGGTGATGTGCTGGTGGGTGGCATCCTCCTACTCCATAGCATAGCGCAGATGCTTGAAGGAAGTACTGCAAGGACCGCTGCTAATGTGCACACGACTGTCTGTGGCTCCTTGGCATTATGAGCTGGAACTGATCAACCTTTTCGAATGGGTGTCCTTGCTGTGTGCCCATGCTTGCTTCCATATATGTTTCATGGAGGGAATTGAGACTTTGCCTGTCAGTTGTGTGTTTTAATTTCGTACATGCAGATCAGCACAGCTAAGTTCTTGTTTGCCACATCTGCATTCACAAGACAAAGCAGAGGTCTTGCATGCCACAGGGGAGGACATGCAGGTTGACATTCGCTATGTCTGTCTGTCTATCCCCCTGGTTCGTTCGTTGTTACATTCATCAACCTTCTGCAGTGCCTACAAATACACTGGTTGTACTCCAACCTGTTCTGAACCCTTTCGGCACAGTGACACAATGCTATACTCCTTTTGTCGTGGCACTAAAAATGCAAAGGCAACACTCCAACACAAAGTATTGATCAAAAACTGGTTGAAATGTGGCCCCAAATTTTCTGACACTGCAGCCCCAGAACTACTCTGGAATGGCCTGTGTATATAGCCCTGCAGATTGCAAAGGACTGCTATGAATCTAAGTGCACAAAGAAAGATCCAATGGTGGTCTGCTACCAAAGTGCAAGGCCCTTATGTGAATTGTGGAGGTGCCTGGCTGCCTACACCACTATTCACTTGCATTTTGTTGTTAAGGTTTTCCGCTTATGAGAATTGATCACATTGGAGGAGGGGCTCTGCTGGTTTTTGATGCAGAAAGTATCTCACAGATGAACGTTTGTCACCACAAACCCTGGGATTCATTGGATCTGGTGAGGTAGCAGGCCTCCAATGCAATAAGATCTCAACCAGAGGTCCCACCTGCTTACTGGCACTTAAAAAGAGCAACTTTCCTGGTAGATTGGTACTACAGGAATGGGGTGACAGGGATCATCCTTTTGCATCCCTTGTTTCCCTTTGTGTCCCGTTGTGTGTTTGTCCCCTCTACAATGGTACTGCTCCAACGGCGAGTGCCCATGGCTGGCCCATGGCTGGCCCAGCCTGCACAGTCTCTTATCCTACTCCTGCAAACCCTCCAGAGACAATGCTGAGGGACAAACAGAACACATGGGTGACTTTGATTAGGGAGCCTCAAGAAACAATCCCTTGGACATCATGTGTTCAGAATGCGATAAACATATATTTGAGGTCAACAAGAACAGGAGAAAGGGAATGGAAATAAGTTGACAGTACAAACATCTTCACAATGGGAAAAGTGGGCTTGAATGGCTTTCAATTCAGCATATTGTGTCCAATCTATTGAATTAGTCGTGGCCTGTAAATTAGTCATCTGACAATGGACCAGCCTTGCTCAAGCCCCTTGCAGCTCGTTCTGCCTGACAGAAGAGCGATGTGAAACCCAGTAGCAAGAAAAAAATCGTACAGCTCCCATTCCCCTGCCACCTGTTTCTGCCTGTGTGTCCCCCGCTTGAATTGGGAGTTTGGCCTACAACCTGGGGCACAGGAGGACGAGGGTGGCAGTCGCCAACAGCACAGTCGTACTGGACACAGCAAATCCGTTGCATTGTCCCCTGGTGCAACAGTGCTCAGGTCCAGGCCAAGGGACGATGCCCTCAAAGGGGTGATTTCAGTGTTTCATCTTGTGCAATGCCCAGTTGATCATCCAGAGCACAATATTCGGTTCATTTGAATATATGGAATCGGTGTTCATGGCTGGTTTTGTTTTGCGCATAACCAGGTCTCCAAAGGAGCAGTGAGGACGCCTGCAGTGCTGTGATTGAGGAATCTTTCAAGAATGAAAGCACAGGAGTTGGACCCTTTATTAAGGTAATGCATCATCTTAGGGAAGAATGATGGGGCATGGTATCAAAAGTTTCCGATGCCTGGAGGCTTCATTGATGTTTCGCCTGCAGTCTGATTGGCACCTCCTTTAGCTCTACTGCAAACTGCATGAAGATTCCCCTTTTCTCATTCCAGTTTGCCCTCTTTTATTCTGGTGGTGATCTGCTTCAACAACTCGGCCCTTAGCTGAGCATGAGCACAATGGCACTTTCTGCATTTTGTGACTGCTGGTTGATTTAGATACCATCAATCACACAAGAGTAGTCAAAAAATACTGAAGTAATCCCAACAGGAAAGCAGTTGTAAAGCAGGTCCCTCTTCACCAGATACATTGTCAATATTGGTTGTGTAATCCTGTAAATCCATGTGGTTCGAATGTCCCTGAGTTGTCTGAAAGCGAAAATGAACTACTGCACATATTTTTAATTGACAAAATGGTAAGAACATCAGAGATATGGATGATCCAGTAGCTGTCGTGTGTTTGTGAGCTCATACCCCATACACCAATTTATACAACTGCCAGTCTGGGTTCCAGCATCGGCCTGTTGTTTTGTAACTTTGTACAGTATTACTTCTTGCATCGTCTTGAAAACTTTGTGTCTGACAGGGTGGGAAGACTGCTGAGTTGGAGAGATTCCCCTACTTTGTGCGTCTCCTGAAGCAAGCTTCCCTGGAGCATGCTTGTGGGGGGATTTTGATCGATGCATGGCACGTACTCACTGCTGCTCATTGCCAGAATTCCACTGGCAATAATCCACTTGCTTATGTTGGGAGAATGCAAGAGGTGACAACTCTGCCTTGAAGTTGGCTTTGTTTGTGAGAATCACCATTCTGCAGATTCAACACTTGATTGCCTTTGTTATTGCACAGTCAAGCACCAACCACCTTTGCACCTCCAAGATGGCGATTGGCATAGTTCATCTTGATTGTTCAAAACAGCCCATTCTTCACAGTATTCCCAGAGACAATATCTTCATGATGGGTGAAATTGGTCGTGAGCGAGCCATGCTGTTTGATCTAGAGGGAAAGGCGACAATGACAGTGGAAGATGTGTAGTGCTGGAGTTCATTTTACCAAAGAGCCACTCTCTGGAGCGATTCTCCAATGACACGAGCAGTTTGTTGAGTGCATTTGAACAAGAAGCACTGGTCATGAAACATGAAGCACTGAATTCTGCAAATGCTCAAACTATGCGTCACAAGCTGTTAGCAGCAGGAATGGTTACCTGGTCCTTCACATGCAAAGCATGCAATGTTGAGCAAAAGCACCAATCATCCCTTTACCAATTCTTTCATAGGCAGTGTTTTCAAGACCAACTGTACCTTCACCAACTATCCCATAAGCGGTATTCCTCAAAAACTCGTTCCTGATGTAACAATGATAAAAATTGTGCAGTGCACACGTGATGGTGCTGATTTTGCTGTGCTGCCTGCAGTTTGTGGGTGTGAAGACCATGATTTTGCACCCGAAATGGAATGGAATCGTTGCTGATGGGCATGATATTGCCTTGGCTAGACTGCTCAGGAGTGTGGAGAACGTGAAGTTCCCAGTGCTTTCCCCTCCCAAAACGAAGTACATCCATGGCACAGTCGTGTCTGCCCTTGGATGGAATGAATCCATGGATTGGTGGAACCCACGAGCTATTGACATTGCAGACACATTGTGGGTGGTGGACCATGATAGGTGTTATGGCGATGTCAAGAAAGATTTGAAACCCGGGATGATTTGTGCGTATTCATGGAAAATGCGCCCATGCCCAGGTAGGTATGTTCTTGAGTACTTGTGAATGCTTTTGCACTGGTTTGTTTCGCACAACATGCAAGCCCTTCTCATCAAATGTGACGATGATTGCCACATTGTGCTGTCAACCATGATGTTTGTTCCATCGACGTCCATTTGTTTGCAGTGTGGTCAATAGCCACCAGCATATCGGAATGGTTGCTGCTCTGGTTTTTGCTGATTGACAGTGACCGTGTGTTCCCTAATTAGCAAATTCTGTGCCAAGTGTGGCCAATGGTTGCATGCTGTGTTGACAGGCCTATATCAGGTGCAGTCACTCTCATTTACTTGTGATATTGTTGTATGCCCTTTCTGTTCCCTTTGAAGAGTGCGAATGTTGTCTTTCAGCAAGGAAGGAAGGAATCCCAATCATTGCTTAGAAATGGAAGATTGCTGAATGGCAAATGGATTCTCTGGAAGAGTCGCTGCTTTTGTAGTGTCACACATCTCTGTTTGCCTGCAGCACATGCTGGTGGCCAGCAGTGCTGGGTCTTTTGTAACGATTTCGTGATATGGAACACAGGCGACTCTGGTGGTCCTCTCCTCATCGCACATGATGATGCTGGCTCAATAATGAATGGCAACCCACAGGGGGACATTGTCATCGGCATCGTATCGTTTGGGAGTGTCATCTGTGATACAAAGATCGAGCACCTCAGCACTGCATACACTGATGTCAGCGAATACGCTCTATGGATACAGGAGGTCAAGAACTCTTGGAATCCTGAGGTATTGCAAAGGACTTCCTCGTGTGTGTCTTGACTCCATGAGACGAAAGGGTGAATGGTTGACAGCAATGCCACTGGCACTTGCTTGCCGAAATCAAGTGATTGAGGTTCATTGTAGAAAATTGCGAGACACTCAATGACTGGCTCCAGTACAGAAACTGGGTATCAGTAGTATTGTGTACATTTCACACATGCTGATGGAACAAATGTCAAGACATGTGTGCAACAATCCACAAGTTAGGTATTGCTGTTTCCCTTGTGCCAGGACCTCTGTACAGCCTTGTCCTTGTTTATTTCAAGTACCTGTTTGTGTGTGCACACTTGTGTGCTTTCATTCGGATGCAGACGTCCGTTGCTCTTCCATACCCTTCATCGAAGCAGGCGTGTTTTCAGTGTATCAGCCAAGATGGCATTGTTGATGGCCATGGTCGTAGGCAAGCACTGGGCACCTGCGGCTCTTTGTGAATTTGTTGCATCGACTGTGAACACTCGATCGTCCGCCTTGTCAAATTTGCACCACACACGTGCTCACTGTTCCTTCCTGTTTGCCAGGTGTTTTGGCTCGGGGGGGCAGTTGCGATTGTTGCCATCGTGTGCACATGCTACAAATGCCAGGTACGACGGACAGGAGACAACAGTCTCTCTCTTATCATCGCAGTGTAATGGGTATTCTGGCACACCTGTGGCAAAATGCAGTTGATTTGGCAACCGGTGATAAGAATTGGGGATCTACAAGTAGAGGATGTGAGGAGCTGTCTTTAAAACCCTTGTTGGTGCTGCTCGAACAGGATAATCCCACACAACCCGATGTCCCAGCCCATTGTGGAAACAGGCCCCTGCAGCGATCTGTGCTGGTGCGACAAACCACTCAGGATTCTTTGCGAGGAGTAGCCGAGCTGTTCAGAGACAGTTATATGGGGGTGGCAGCACTGCAAGAGCTGCCTGCACAAGTTCTGGAGCCTGTTTCCATTGGTGTGGCACGTGCAATGCTCTCAAGGCGGCAGAAGCGCATGCCAAATCATTTTGTGACAGTCAGCGGCAAAGTTCAAGCAATTATGGACCTGTTGCGGCTTCCTGCAACCACAACTGTGGCATTGTCCGGCATGGGCGGTGTAGGTAAGGAACACCTCTGTGGAGGGCTTTCTGGTACTCGAAGTGGTTCCAGGTATCTGGTGCACTCGCCTTGGCCAGTTGACTTTAATGAATCATGTTTATCCATGTACAATGTGCATGTACATTGTACAATGTCAATGTGCAAGGATTTTCTTGTTCCGACAACACAGTTAAAATAGGAGATGAAACAGGGCTTCTACTATGGCTGTACGAGAGAACAGCTATCTGTTACCACCAAATTTTGGGATTGAGGATGATCTTGTTCTTACAATAAAGTGGTGCTTTGGCATGTTTGGGCAGATGTATGCAGTTAGAATTTGTGCAATTGTATCAGATGAGGCCCCAACTGCTTGGTGCCTGTGCAGGCAAGTCTACTCTGGCAATGGCTGTGTACAATGAAACCATCCGCTCACCAGAGCTTGGCGAAGCAGTGTGGCTTAGAATTGGTCGAGCCCCGAAATGTCCTCGAAGCCTGCTTGTAGAGATCTGGAATAAACTCGGTGGACAAGAGCAAGACCTGTATGGCGAAGTTGATGACATCCTTGAGATGATCCAGAATGCATTGGAACACAGATGCTTATTACTTGTTCTTGATGATGTTTGGGATGCAGCCCACGTTGAAAAGCTAATGGTCATCAGCAATACACAGAGCCGAGTGCTTATGACATCAAGACGGACAAGTCTTGCAAAGCAAGTCGACATTAATGCAAAAACCTTCAATGTGGAAGTTCTGGATGCCAAGGCTTCCCATGAGCTTTTCTGCAGGTTTGCATTCGGTGCTGCACAAGTGCCAAGCAGCAAACAGAGCTCAGCACACATTGTTGACGAGATGGTGCAGTTGTGTGGGCAGCTGCCGCTGGCTCTGAGGATAATTGGTAGAATGGCTGCTGGGTTCCAAACAGAGCATGAGTGGAGACATGCCTTAAAAAAGCTGAAACAATCGCAGGAGCGGGCTGGAGAAATGGAGAGCGTGCTGTCTACCCTTAAAGTCAGTTATGACGATCTGGACAAAGACCACAAACTGATGATCTGCTGCTTGGTGTGCTACCCTGAGGGCTGTCACGTGAAACTGACAGACCTGGTGGAACATTGGATGGCGCTCCAGCAGCGGGACTTCGGAGAAGGCTTCGAAGGGAACAACTTGTCCCATGATGCAGTTGCTGTTCTGTACAATCTCCGAGACCGTTCTCTGTTGCATGTAGAGGACAAGGAAGGGGAACAGTGGCGTGATGCGGTGTGCCACATGCATGGCCTTGTGAGGGAGATGGGCATCATAGCAGCAAAAGGTGACCTGCCAGACATGCACAACATTGCGCTGTCATTGCCCATTTCAACCGATGAGAGGGACCATGCACAGTGCACGCACTCCTTGATTCTGAGGGAGTACTTAATGCCAACTTTGCCACCCCTCCTGCTCACCTGGGTGCATCTGAAGGTGTTGGACTTATCAGGCAGCCGCTTGGAGACGTTGTGTGGAGGTGTGCAGGACCTGGCAATGTTAGAGGTCCTGAGGCTTGATCGCTGCTCACTGAAGACCCTGCCAGATGAGGTGACCAACCTGAGGCAGCTTGGCGTCTTGTCACTTCGGGGCTGCTGGCTGCTCACATGTCTGCCAGTCCACCTCGGAAGCCTCAGTCGCTTGCATTCATTGTACCTGCAAGACTGCTGGGCTCTGGAATACTTGCCTCAAACACTCACCCAGCTGCAGGACCTGCACAATTTCGACCTTGCACACTGCAGACAGCTGCTGTCACTTCCTACAGGGTTGCAGTGCCTGAGCAACATCGAATTCTTGAGCTTGGGAGGGTGCTCAAGGTTGGAAATGTCTTTGGGGATGCAGAATGACCCACTCCGCCGGGAGTATTCCCTGATTGATGCCATTGTGTCGATGAATTACTTGCAGTGGCTGGATTTGCATGGGCTTGATAATCTCAAACACATTCCAGATGCACTGGGGCACCATTTGGCCCGCCTGCGACAGTTGGATTTGAGTGGCTGCAGTAGCCTTGAAGCCATCCCACGGTGCATAGGACGCGTGACCAATATTCGTACACTGAATCTGGCATCGTGCAGTCGTCTTGCCAACATTCCTGAGGCCATCGAGGGACTGGTTCAGTTGCAGCACCTGGATTTCAGCCATTGCTCCAATCTCAAGCATCTTCCAAAGGGCATAGGATGTCTTACACAACTTCGTCGTCTGGACCTGAATGGGTGCTCCCAGCTCCAGGACATTCCAGAGTCCATTCAGTCTTTGAGCCAGATTAATAGCTTGAACCTGAGTGGGTGCTGTTGCCTCAGCAGCCTTCCTGCAGCTCTTGCAGCACTCGTGCACCTGCGATTCTTGAGTTTGAGTGGTTGTTTGGAATTGACAGAAGTTCCGTTGGCCATCTGGTCTTTGAAGCAACTCCGGCACCTTGATCTCAGTGGGTGTCGTTTCAGTGCACCAACCCCAGGTAGTGCCAGCAACGAAGAAATACCTGATGCTATTGGGGGCTTGGGCCATCTTGGGACACTTATCCTTAATGGTTGCACAACCCTTACTCAGCTCCCTACATCCATCGGGTCGCTGACCCACTTGAGGACATTCTTGCTGACTGGATGCACCAAGCTCGAGCGAATTCCAAAGGAGGTTGGGTTGCTCAGTCGGCTGAAGACCCTGGACCTCAGCGGCTGCAGCAGGCTAAAGGCGTTGCCAGAGGTCGGGGCTGGTTCATGGCAGCACTTACAAACACTGGATCTGAGTGGGTGCAGCAGTCTAGCTTCACTGCCACCCGTCATGTCGTTCGAGCAGCTCAGGGGCTTGTTTTTGAGTGAATGCACCAGCCTCAGCAGTCTTCCTGATTCTCTTGCTTCATTGAGGCACCTCCGGATTGTCGATCTCAGAGGGTGCTCCAACCTCAAGGCGTTGCCAGGAGATGCGACGTGGCTCAGCCAGCTTCAACGGCTGGACATCGATGGTTGCTGCGAGCTTGAGAAGAAATTTGGACAAAATGATCGGCCTGGCAAAGGCTACAGAACGTTCACACGGGTCCTAACTCTGAAACAGTACTTTGTGAGGGCTTTTACACGGCCAATCCCAAAGAGCAGGTGAGATGGACGGCACCACTCAAATTTAAAGAAGCATGTGGTGCAAGCGAGGTACCTGTCCCGGCAGTAATTCTGGCAATATCTGCAAATTGTTCATACCATGTTTGCCCAGTGACCATCACATGCGCTCCAAGTTGTTGGAGCTGTCAATTGGGTTGTGAGTCCCTCAATGTACAGTGTTTGTGGTGCCTTTGCATGTGCCTATTGCTCATTTGTTCGCATGTTTTTTTGTGATCAGATACCAAACACCTTGCCGAGTTGACAGGCTGCGGGAATGGAGGGATGCTTTTGGACGTAAAGGGAAAAAGGGAAAAGGTGTATTGCTGCAGCGTAGCCCACCAGTGCGAACACAGCAGCATTACGCACAGTTGCAACGTTCAACAGTGCTGCCACAGGACACGTTTCAGGAATGGCTGGAAGCAATTGGGGTGAAGCCAAGAAGGGCCAACGCTGCAACGCCAACGTTGCAGCAATCCCCTCCACTGCGATCACGCAAATGATGGCAGCAATGCGGTGAATTGAACCAAGACTGTTGCATGATAGGCAATGGGGGACATGGCATGGAGCATCAGTGCAGTGTACACTGGGCAGAACCTCCCCTTGGAGGCTATCAACAATGAGCTTTGGAATGGGAATGCCCACAGACTATCGTCTGGGCTGACGCTTCTGTTGCTGGTCCTTGGTGGGAGGCCACCATGCCAGGGGATGGGTGTGGGGCTGGATGCCTTCCACCCCCACCCCCATTCTCTGGGCATTGGTGGGCCCCCAATGAAGGATGGATAGACTGAAGCGTGCAGGTGATGCTGCCCCAGCTGTGACGGGAAGAGGCGATGGGGTGGCTGAGGGACTCCCTGAACGGGCAGGCCAGTGTGCTGAGCGGTGGGTGCGCCAAGGTAGACTTGGCTCTGTGGCCCGTTGTGGTGCTTCCGATGTTGGCCTTGGGTGGAAGACACTGAAAGCTACGTCTGTCGCCCTTGGGCATGACCGCCCTGCAGTTGAGGCAATCAGTTTCAGGCTCTGCGCCGCTCAAAAGAGACTATGGCTCTCTGTCAAAGATGTGTAGGCAGTCACACAAGTGCCAGAGCCAATGCCGGATTAAGTGCTGTGATTCGAGGAGTATGCTATCAACAAGTTCACATGTATCAGTGGATGTCAACGAATTAGCTACCGGTTCTCGTCGCCTATTCTTACTGCGTTCCCCAGCACTCCGAGCTGAGCTATTCATCCTATCATTTCTGCCTTGTCGAAGCGACTTGAGATGTTGCGTCGGGAATCATAGCGAATTCTTCGTCGCGGCTACTCTCTGCTGACGCCGCAGCTTAAAAAGAGTCCTGCCGCCGAAACCAAGCATCTAGATGGGCTGCGCGATACTGTATGTGCCAGTAAGGCGATGTTTTCCGGTCAGCACCGCTTAGCGGACGGATGACGCTACCACGTAGTCATTCGAAATATTGCAACACACCAATTTTGCAATCTTGCCAATGGTTGGGTACGAACCCCAACAGCAGACAAGCTCGCACCCTCACTGGAAGCGCTAGTTGAACACTCTCATCTCTTGCGTCAATGCGTCCCATTACAAGTGGGTGCGGTGCCTGTCAGCATCTTGTATCCTCATCCTCATGTCCAGGAGTCACACCGCTGACGGAATCGCAGAGGTGTTGCATCAAGGTCACCAGAAAAACTGCGCTACTAATTTGGTGTTTGTGCGTACCCGATCTCCAGAAAGAGTGGATAACAGCACGCATATGCCAAGAAATAGCAACCTCCACAGCATTCAGCACAACCAAACCCACATTCCAGTGTCCACTTTGCCTCGCACGGCCTGTCGCCCATGCGGATTTACCAGTCTTGGCAGTGGCCGCTGCGGGGGCTGGGAGCGGCTTGGAGCGTTGCTGAAACCGTTTCTTTGGATTGTTGGTCCGTGGATTGACCACCTTCGAATGACTATTGGTGCCATTACAAGTACTGGCGCTGTCAATTGCCCTATCCGTGTACAGGAGAGTCTCGACTTCAGAATGAGAGCCAAGGTTTGATGACTGCATCGACGATCAGTGGTGCCCATCGGGCTTGCATTTTGCATTTTGCATTTTGTAGTTTGAGGTTGTGCACTATTAGTTATTTGATTGTTTGATCTGCTGCAACCTTGTTTGAGTTGCTGAGCAAGGCCTGGAATCAGTGAATTAAAGACGTACTAATTGTCCTGTTCCGTTGTAATTGTCCAGAAGTCCACCTGGAGAGAGCTGCCCTTGCCACAAGCCCCAACGTATGAACCCCCTGACTTGTAACTAAGCCAGCATGGAGAACCGAGCTGGGAATAAAGGACTGAGCTGGGAATTCATCATCAGTGAGTTATTTTAGTTGTGTACGTTCATTTTGATGGAGTACCAAGGCTGGAGCTAAGGAATGGACTGGTGGGTATTACCAACTTCATCATGTTTTACTGATTTGATTGATTTGAGTACTGACTCAATATGGAGGGACGTACTGGGAACTGAGCATGATTGCACGGGGCTGGTCGCACGTGTTGGGGACTGAATTGGGCCGGTTGTATGGAGTGTATGATGGTTTGTACCGTGCTGGGGGACCGGTGTTGGAGAACTTGAGATGTTTGGGGACAAGCTCAGGGGGTTCTGTACCGGGATTGCAGCTTGGGAGGCTTCTCAAACGGTGGCTAGGACTGGGGACTGGGACACCCTTTTTCGAGTATAAATACGCACTGAACATTCTTGTAAGACACACTCTTTCTGGGCCCACCATCGCTGCTGTGCATGTGTCTGTGCTGTGCATGTGTTAATACGTGTCCGCTGAAAACATGCACGGCCCAGTCTCAACAGCTCCAAACAGAGCGCAAAGCTCTTCCCTCTCAAGCCTCTATCGATGTTCCGTGGGCTGCTGTCACCCATGCCATTGCACTGCAAACTCAAGAAATCGTCACCAACTCACACCTCCAGACTCCTCAGCCTTGTGAAGTGGCACGTGGCTGTGGATCAACATCTGAAGTTTGGTGGATGCAGGCTGCAGGTCAATGGGGTGCGATGCTGTACGCTGCTCCTCGGCGCGCTTTGTTAGACCCTGTATGCAGCCCCAACTTGCGCTGTATTCCTTGGGACATCCTTCCTTGTCAACAATGGCCACGCTGGGTTCGACTGTCACTGGGGCTACATCACACTCTTCACCCAGATTTTTCGATACCAGCTCAGGGCTCCAGGCTCCCCAGCCAGCTGCAGTGGAACATGGCTTGGGGCCACTTTTTTGGAGCCCTTTGGATGTGAGCTGTGGGTCGGCGGGGTGCGATGCTGTAGATTGCTCCTCCACACACCTTGATGGCCCTATCGCAGCACTTGCTGTGAGCCTTTGCACACATGTGGGGTCATCACTTTCTTCTATGCAGGCCATGACACCCCTCACCCAGATTTCTCGGCACCAGCTCAGGGCTCCAGGCTCCATGTTCCCCAGCCATCTGCAGTGCAACATGGCTGGGGCCCACTCATTGGACCCCTTTGGATGTGAGCTGTGGGTTCGGCGAGATGTGATGCCATAGATCGCTCCTCCACACACCTTGACAGCCAAGTCGCAGCACTTGCTGTGCGCCTGTGCATAAATGTGGGCCCTCACTTCCTTCTGCCCAGGCCATCAGACTCCTCACCCAGAATTGTGAATACCAGCTCGGGGCTCCAGGCTTCCCAGCCACCTATTGAGGAGCACGGCTGGGGGCCTCTATATGGAGCCCTTTGGATGTGAGCTGCAGGTCACTGGGGTGTGATGCCATAGGTTGCTCCTCCACATGCCTGGATGGCCTAAACCCAATTGCAATGTGTGGTTGCGCAGTATGGGACCGTCACTTCCTTCTACCCAGTCCATCACACCCCACACCTGAATTTGTCAATACTAGCTCAGCAGCCGTTTGCAATGGAATGAGGCTGGGGCCCTCTATGTGGAGCCCATCGGTTGTGAGCTGCAGGTCAGTGGGGTGTGATGTCAATGATTGCTCCTCCACACACCTTGACAGCCTAATCGCAGCTCTTGTTGTGCGTCTTGGCATAATTGTGGCCATCACCTCCCTCTTCCAAGGCCATCACACCCCTCACCCAGATTAGTCGATACCAGCTCAGGGCTCCAGGCTCCCCAGCCGTCTGCGATACAATGCAGCTGGGAGTCACTTGTTCGAGCCCTTTGGATGTGAGCTGCAGGTCAGCAGGGTGTCATGCCATAGAGTGCTCCTCCATACACCTTGATGGCCCAATCGCAGTGCTTGCTGTGCATCTTTGCGAAATCCACAGGAGGCTGGCCTTGCAGTGGGTGTCCCCGGATGGCGATGGTTGCAACTTGCCAATGAAGTCCGTACAGTTTTGCAGCAGCCCACCTTCCTCCTGAATAATCATCATCTGCCGGATGCTTATCCATGCTTCAATTGTTTTGCTGCATTTCCAGAGTCCAATCACGAAGCCACAGGAGGCATGCCTGTTACTGGGTATCCTCCACACTGCCATATCAGCAACCCGCCATTGCAGTCTCTGTGCCTTGCAGTGGCCAGCCCTCCTCAATAAGCATCACCTGCCTCCTGCCTCCCCATCATTCAGTATTGTTTGATGGTTGCAGATTCAGAAGAGCCATTTCACAGGAGGCATGCACGCCATTTGTTGTACCCCGGACAGCCGCAGTAGTCTTTATGCCCTTGCAATGGCCAGCCCTCCTCCTGAATAAGCGTCTCCTGCCTTCTGGCCCCCCATCATTCACTAGTGTTTGATGGTTGCATATTCAAAAGAGGAACTTCACAGGAAGCATGCCCGCCATTTGTTGTCCCCGAGGTGGCCGTGGCAGTCTCTATAACGTTGCAGTGGCCAGTCCTCCACCTGAATAAGCAGCGCTTGCCTTCTGCCTCCCCATCATTCAATATTGTTTGGTGGTTGCAGATTTCAAAGAGGATCTTGACAGGAGGCATGCCAGCCTTTTTTTGTCCCCCGGACCACCATGATGGTCTCTATAACCTTGCAGTGGCCAGCCCTCCTCTTGAATAAGGGTCTCCTTCCTTCCGCCTCCCCATCATTCAGTAGTGTTTGATGATTGCAGATTCAAAAGAGGAGCATCGCAGGGGGCATGCCTGCCATGTGTTGTCCCCCGGACAGCCATGATGGCAACTTGCCTATGCTGTCACTATACCTTGCAGTGGTCAGCTCCTCTCTTGGATAAGCCTCATCTGCCATCTGCCTCGCCATCGTGGCAATGTTCTTGGTGCCATTCCAGTTTCAGAATCGAAATTCACAGTAGGCTGGCCTTCCACCGTGTGTTGCTCGGACTGTCAGGATAGCAACTTGCTAGTGCAGTCTATATACAATTTTCAATAGCTGGTCATCCTCCCACGCACACATCATCTGCCTCCTACGTCACCGTTGTTGAGTTGTTTTGGTGCAATTTCTTGATCGAAATCGAGCGTCACAGGATGTTGGCCTTGCACTGGGCGTTCCCAGGCCGCCATGGCAGCACCTTGCTTGTGCAGTCC